TGTTATACGTGGCAATCCGTGTGGGGACGGCTTAAGAATACGGAATGTCACACCCCTATTATCCCGTGGGTTTCGTAAGAGAGCACTGCCAAAAGAAGAAAAACTTGACACAAACTCTTTCCTTTTTTTAACGTGAAATCCGCTCGGGCTCTCACCCCACCGGTGTTTGCAGCAAGGCGGTGTGTGGGAATCGAAACGACTAAAACCACACGGTGCGCCACTCCGCGCCTGAGATAGGAGGGGTCCGGGAACAGTTGACGTTAAATCCGGAAACTTGTCATAAACCCTAAACTGCCCTACAAACATTAAAGTACAGTAAGTGTCAAATTGAGGTTATTGAGGTAATAACTTTGATAGAATCGAGATTTTTTTCTCTTTCTTTGAGTTCTGTTTTTTAATTAATTAGAACTAATTTAAATATATATTTTTTAAATTAATTTGCAGTAAACGTGGTCTACATTGTTAAAAATAGTTAAATTACTAATTAAAATACAGTAATAATGCAAAATTTGGAGAATTTTAAGTATTTACTAACAGAAAAAAGTATTCGCTAATCTTTACTGTATCATAGTTAGTAACTGCTAATGGGTCTATGGTAAATGTAATTGTAATTTGCATCCAACTGTTTTTTACTGTACTTCCGAAATCTGGATATGTGTTTTTTAGATTACCAATTAAAACACAGTAATTGAATGGAGAACCACAATTTAATTATTTTACATGAAACTCTCGAGATTTATACATTATAGTAAGTTTAAGGTTTTTTTTTCGGATTTTTATTTAACATAGTTCACTGCATTGAACACACCTTAAATATCAAAACTGTAGAACATAACGGCTTTTGATTTTAAACTTAATTGACAGCAGGACGGCGCTTGTAAATTTAAATACACTATCATTTCCTTGTTTTACAGTACGATCCATTTGACAAAAAGTTTTAAATTATGTTTTTTTTAGAATAATTGTTGTTTCAAGACTAATAATAAATATTAAGAAATTGTTATCAATTACAGAAGAGAATACGAGATTAAGTTTTGATACTGTGCTTTATTGTTATTTAATTTTATCGGGTAGGTAAGATTACTGTTAAACAAATGTGACTTTTACAGTGTATGAGCTTTTTTTAGGGTACTGAAGGTCTCCTTAACATTTTGCCTTCTTATACCGTTTAAATTACAGTAAAACTTAATATGACTTTACTTATTACAGTATATAGTGTGTACCGTCAGTGCAAAAAAAAAAACAAACACAATAATATAGTTTTTACTGTATTTTAGATGGCAAATTAAAAAAAATCTTTAGCAGTAATATGCTTGTAAAATTTATATTAATACATAAAAAAAACGTAGTCGAGACGCAAGACGCACCTCTTCCCCCCACAATAGAGGGGGTGAGGTCAGTTGGGCTCCGGTAACCTCACTTAGTGAAAAGCACCGAAACAATTAACACAGCAACATTTTGCTTGATTTATTTTAGTTATTATTGTCTTGACACCATTACTGTTTAAATGTAAACACCGTTCTAGTCTCTTGCAGACGATTGTAGGTTTCACCTGTTGTAGGTTAATACCTGCCCTACCAATGATTGATGAATTGTTAGTTTAAGTATATTGACTCCGACAAATATTGTCTTTTAGAAATAATTGAAACAATATTTTTTTTCTTAAAGTTAAACTGCTGTTGGACTTCGATGTGATATTAACCTCAACTTAAGCCGTATTACATTTATTCACTGTTTTGACGATTAGTTTCAAAAATCATTATTAAATGAAGAGAATTTATATTATTATTTTTTAACATCCTAAAGTTTGCTTACGTTTCGTGTTTGTAGTTACGATTAATATGCCTTAAAGTTTCGTTCAAGAACTGATAGTGTGCACTTCGTGCAACAATATTTCAACTTGCCGTCGATTAATATATAAACATAATATTGTCATCAAAACAGTTTCAATTAATTCAAGATGAGTCTGCAGTCGGAGCATTAAGCTGGCTGGCTGTAGGTAATTGTAATGTATTTACGTCTGCATCGTAATGTGTCTGTTTTGTCTGGAAACTTGTTATTTTGTTGATTGTTTATCTATTTTTTATAATAACTTTATAGAATAGTGATCACTAGAAAGTAATTATTGTATTGATAAATTGAATTGTTATATTTCTTTAGTTTGTTATCAGTTTCAAGTAAATGTTTATATTTTAATGCTAGTATGGGAGCTACGGTCATGATCAGTAATTAATTCGAGTATATCACAGTCCTAAAGTCCGTGGGTTGGTATTTTGTAATAAAAATGGCGTCTATTTGATGTTACTGTTAAGCCCGGTCGTTGCATCGAGTGAAACGACATAGAGCTACAAAAATATTGAAATGCATTTTATTTATTTAGTTATAATTTTTTATTAGAAATTTATTACCAAATTTCGTATTCTATTACCCTTCACATGACTTCATTATTAAATACATTTTCAAATACATATTATGTAAAAATAAAATTACAAATTATTCAATTTTTTGCCTGGCTATACTTGAAGTCTTTTAATTGTATAATTTCGAAATCTTTTTGAGATAGGGATGACATAACTCGATTAACACTCTCAATACTTAAAAGAAAATTACTTTAATTTAATTTAACAACTTTTTATTTACATTTCGAAAAATATATTATTTCTAAATCCTATGAAATCTCAATACTATGAACCCTGCATATTTATAACACCGTCCGCCCCGCACACCAATATGCCGTATCCATAGTTGGTGATATTAAATATCTAGTGGGAACATGTTCTGTAGGTGGGCGTGCTCGGTCTACTAAGTACAAATAGCAGGCCGGTACGCTTCGGTCCATGCGTATGGATACACCACTGAATGATCTCGCGTTCTGTCTATTTGTATGTAATGTACCTACATTATAATTTCTAGAAAGCACCTACTGATTCGTGTTCATTTGCTTAAACTTTCAATTTGATATGAATTTATGTACGTCTGTGTTTTCACTTAATACTTTCTTAGCACTCTATTGGACTGCGTTTATACGTTTAATTAATTTTAAAAAGTTGCGTGACGCCATGTCTGATAATTATCTATTTAAAGCTATCGATGGTGACTGGCAGGTATATGCACTCGAATAAATTTCAACGTTTGTTTGAAAAAAGTTTAATCATGTGATCTGGGTATTTACTCACGTATGTTAAACTGTCAATAGACCTGCTTCAAATTCAAATATATATTGCTAACGCATTTATGACTCCTTTGAAAAGGTTTTAATTTGTATTGATTTTAACTCCAAATCTAACCAGCGACTATAGAGTAGGCTTAATTCGAAATTTGTTTTTTTTTTTAAGGTATTTATCTGCTTTGCTAATAGTGACAGTATGTATTTACACTAGAGCTATTTTCTTGTAACGCTATTCTGATAATGCGCATACATATCAAACATGTTGTCATAGGAACTGTAGGCAGTACCATACGAAAGAGCAAATAAATTAATGATAATCTCATACAAAAGTGTTTGCTTTTTAAAACGCTACAAAACTGTGAATTACAGTGGAGCGATGAACAGTGTATATAAATTTCCCTGGCATTCCCACACACTAACGTCATCGAACCGCGTACCTACGCAGATGTCCTTTGAGTCTGTGTGAGTGCACGTAGCGTTAATACACCCTTCTCACTAAACTTATTTAATGTTCTCTAAGCCTTTTCACAACAAAATAGAGTACGTTTTAGCTTGATTTGAATGAAACAGGTACAAGAGTAAGGTTGTATTACTGTACCGTATTGTTTCACGTTTACGCGTCTCTGTGTGGCGAGGTTAAGTAGAGCGGCGTTATCTCGGAACAGAGATTCCATGGAGTCTGGATTATACGATAAAACAATGTGTTGACGTAATATACATTTTTATAATTGATGTTAACTAATATTAAAGTAAGTATGTATTCTTGTTTTGCTGTTTATAATCCTCAAGTAGTATAGTAAGCAAGTAGCAGTAAGCAGTAGTAATTAAACTTTTAATACTGATTACACTTGGGTACGGCATTAAAAACTTTAACAACTATTTTCGTGTAAAAGCGTGTAAATGCTTCTGTTTCTACGGAATAAATTTTCTATTTATGTGAAATAATTATATAACTGTAATGTGTCACATACACATACGTAAATAATTAATTTCATAATAATTATCGAGGGTTTAGCGCGTTGTCCGACCATTCTAAATGTCATCGAACGGGGTTTCGCAAGAGCGTCAATCACGGGCGGTCACCTACTTTCGCGATCGACTCGAGGCGATTAGTTGACTACATTCACCGAGGCCTCGGATCACCTCTACGCAACAATTGTTTCTGTAGGAATCTTTTATTTATGGCAGCGTGGAGCTGCGTTTGTGTGAGTGGGCCGTAAGCGACCGTACCCGTGTTTTACCTGTATGTTAAAAAAAATGTAATCAATCTAAACCACAACATTATGAAAATAGAGTTGAATTTTAATTGTTTGCCAAAGATACAGAAATGCCCTACCGGCAATAAGTCAACGCTCGAACTCGCCTGTTAGACAAGATTCCAACCGCGTCTGTCCTGTTTGTTTATTGTAATCGGTTTGACAATGAGCTTAAGGTGCGGTTTCGAGTGATCTCCGGGCTCGCGCTCTCTTGTGATTGTTCTCGGCTACTCGGTGCGAGACTGTGTTTGTGTTTGTATTATACGTCATGTATACCGGCTTACTGTAGATTCGCTTCTTAGCATTCATAATTGCTTGGCGACCGAGCGGCTTTTAAAGCTTGCCGTTGATTGGTTTTTATTCGAGATTTGAGTTCAGTTTTTATTTATTCGTAATTATCTGAATTTTTATATTGAGAAATATTTGAACTTACTTTGACTTTATTTATCTAAACAGAAGGTGAAGATGGCGATGTTAGCGTACAAAGGAGACAGGTGACAAAAGCTGTTGATAAGTGGACGACAATCCTAGCTCAGATAACGGAAGGTCAATGAGGGATACGTCAGACGATTGAAATGGCGCGCATCAGCACTTGGGCAGGTCGTGCGAGGCGCGCGTCGCGGCGGCATGGGCAGCGCGGGTGTCGCGGGAGGGAGAGACCGGCGCGGTATGGCATAGTGGCGTCTCTGTCGCGCGCGCGCTCCACCGACCTCCTTGGATGTGCGGCCGCAAGGTCGGCCGCCTTAATTAATAAACTCACCGTAAAGTATTTGAGGCCGATCGGAGAGGCGACTACAATATTACTCGAGCCTTTGTCTAGTTATTGACCCGTTCGCGTCCGACGATGAAGGTTTTTATTTCTCTAATCTATGTATCGTAGGCCGAAAACAAACCATTGGGAGGATAATTAAATGAGATGTTCAAATATTTGTATTTCTTTAACGATCTACCAAGTTTTTCGACTTTTTCTTGGCAGCGGCTGTTTCCTTCTTGTTTAATGAAAGTACAACATTATTTTGTACTATTTGCATTTGTTTGATGATTAAGTGGACGATATCTGTTTTAATAAACGTGCTTGACGTTTAAAAAGGTATTAAGTAGTCATAACAACGCGTAATGTATGCAAATGGTACATCTTGTAGATTTAGTGAAATGTAGAAACAGTGAAATTAAAAAAAGAAAGTTTTTACTTACCCCCGTAATAGTCGCGAATTAAGACGTTTCATCACATCCGTGTTAGATTATATCTTACAAACTTTGACTGTCGTAATTTTAAATTTATAATTTTGTACAACAATACCTACCTACAACATTTTCAAATAAAAAATTTGCAACTTTATAAGAAGTAAACTAGGAAATGTTTGTTTTTGTTACTTGTAGATTTGACCTTTTTTTGTTTTTGTTTTATGAATAATATTGTAAAATATTCGAAAAATTTCCGTATTTCAAAATTCTTGATCCAGTTGGTATTCGAGTTAGTCGGGGTAACGCCTGCAGGCATGTGCGTCAGATTTGTTTAGTTTTTTTTTTTAATTTAAAAGCTGTTTTAATTTTGAGTGACATTGACAATCAAAGAACTCGAAAAATTTACGTCACTAAAAAAAAACCATAAGATTTAACTATGCCATGGTTGACTTTGGTACAATAAAACGTTTACTTTCAAATTACATATATATTTACCTATATTATTAATAAAATATATATTTAGTTCCTATCATATTATTTTTAAATAAAAATCTACTACATATTTATAATACATCACTTACGCGACCGACCGTTTGCATATTATTATTACTAGGATGGACACTGAGAACCATTGCCGTGTCGAGACGTTCCCATAGATTTTATTCCGCAGAGAAGAATGTAGGCACAATATTTGTTTTCCAAATTAAAAAAAAATACATTCTTATCATCCAATATATCATTTTCATGCAAAGACAAAAGAAATCCTACGTCGGTAAAAGTGCCAATGTTCCGTCAATTAAAAAAAAAATACTTTTTTTTAAGAATGCTCAATGTGTCGCGCGTCTTCGTTGACAAATCATTATAATCTATGCGTGGCGTTCGGCTCGCTCACATTGTTGGCTGCTTATGTAAGTCGAAACGTCTTCAACTTTCGAATCAAGTTTATTGACACGGCAAGCTCGACAAACTCCCGACGCTTCACAGTTACATCGGCATCGCTTTGATACCCGCACTTACCTCACTTGACCAATGAGATCAACCAAATAACCATACATTTATATCAATAACTTGCCACAACTTCACTAAATAGTGACGAATTCTCTATTGGTACTTAGCAAAAGTCATAATTCACTTCGCCGGTAAACATTAACTGTTAATAAATTTATTTGTATACAATATATAATTCTTATATCAAGATGTTTTATGATAATTTTATGTATGGCCCGCCCCCAGTTGTATAAATGCTAAAGACATAGAGTTGAAGCGCACTCATTAAACTATTTTTTATTAGCTATAAATCTAATTCTGTAAATATTTTTGTCGCTAATAGTACGTGCTTAAAGCTGCCTAAATTTTTAAGAATCATTAGTAATAAAAGTGTTTTTTATGCAAAAATTAATTGCGATTTTCGCATAGGTAAATTGATACAGTATGATGTTTCTTCTCGTTTGGTTACTTAAGTGCCTGATACAGGATAAGTTATTTCGGTTCAAGGATTCAAATTATCCGGCAATAGCCAATTCAGGTCAATTCAGGTATGGACCCAGGTCTGCTGAATTTCACATTCCACAATCCATCCTTGTAAGCAACTTTTCAGCTATTCGTCGGAATCTTGTTTTTTAATGTATTTTCACCGATTACTCGAAGAAGCCTGAACCGATTTGGAAAATTCTTTTTTTGTTTTAAAGGGCATACTTCCCATTTAAATTTTATTGAAATCTGACCGATTTCAATAAAATTAAAATGGACTGTTTTGGAAAAATCAACAAAAATCTAAAAAGTTTATACATTGATAGATTTTTTGTTTAGTTACGAAACCTTGCTGTCTCATTGGAGCAGTTCGTTTGAAGTCGGTTCAACTTTTTTTTCAAAAGGATTTATTTACATACGAAATTATCTGGCTTCCTAAATGTTAGTATATTAAATCTAGCTAGCGATTAAAATTGCCATATTTAAAAACGTGCTGATAAATAACGTTTAAACATACTTATATTAATTGTTATGTTTGTTATATTAGCGTAAAGGTCAGTAGCCCTAGGTAATTTATACAGGATGTAGATGGGCATGCTATAATGACCATCCGCCTGCGGCACCCTCTTAATATCCGTCTCTTTAATTGAGGTTACTATTATATCACTAGAGTACACAACACTATCCTACACCATCTACAAACGAAGTAGTTTTATTATTTTTAGTTTTTATTAGTTTTTTTATTATAAATTTAAATTTCTATCTTGAGGTGAACAAATATTACTGCAGTTATTCGTGTTTTGCTTTTGTGAAGTAAATATTTATGAACTAAATATTATGCACTCAGTCTAATTTAAAATATGTAGGTAGTTGTAATTATAAAAACGTGATAAACCTATGATATATTATGTGATTGCATGGTGAGCTAGGTCACATATTTCCAATAATGTGGTACTGTACTATCAATTATTTAAGAAGGCATTAAGAAAATTTGAAACAACATCAATAAAAAATGTATCTACTTTGGTCAGAGGGCTTGGAATTTCCGGCAACGGTTTGTTCCAAACTCATCCGAATAAGCAATATCCTTTTCTTGTCTATCGTTCTTCCTAACATACTCTCAATTTTTTTATCTAACTCCTAAACTAACCGGACGTTAGAGGCAATATGCTTACCGTCTATTAAGGAAGTAAGTCTAATACGCGTTTTCCAACCTCTTCTGGAATATAGACGTAACTGTATGTTCCTATTAGTCATGACATTCTATTTAGGTAATACTATGTGTAACAAGTAATACGCGAACATTGACGAAAAAACTTTCACATTGATTTATGAAGGAACCATTAAGAATACCACGCAAATACGCCATGTTAGTGTAGGTCAACGACCTCCGCTTACTCGAGAAATAGTTCAGTAACTGTGAGTGCGAACTATTGATACTATAGTATTAAAGAAATAAAAATAAAATCAGTTATTTTTGGATAACTCTGAATAAAAAAGTATCCAGTTGTCTATGTAGGCTGCAAAAAGTTGGGACGCGACGTATCGTTTGTCATTGATTATTTTCTTTTCGAATGTTCTATTATAGGTAGTCGGAATTCTGATGAAATATTAATGTGACAATTTACGGAAGTCGTTTTGGAGTATTATGGCACCAATAGACTTTTGTTTTGTGTTGTTGGCAGTTCAAACCAGTGTAATATTAAAGCCTTCTCCAACTACTTTTCTTTTAAGTTTAACAATTAAATCGTGTTGTTTAAGAATTGCAATTTAACTTAAAATCAATTTTATTTTGCGTCTACAAATTGTATTAATGTAGGTCTCGGTTGATTATTGTAAACAATATATTATTGTTTTATTGACGGGCATGTTAGTTTAGTGGTTCTACATTCTGACTGCTAAGACAGAGGTCATGGGTTCGATTCCCAACCAGGATAAATAGTTATGTGATGAGCACGATAATTTGTTCTGTGTTTCATTAATCCTATATTATATTATAGTGTTGTTACCATAGTTCTGCCTAGTTTGGGGTCAGAGGTGAGAGGTTATTATTGTTATAAAAATAATTATTATTTATTGTTAGACGTTATGGTTACTACATATACCTACTAAGCGTAGTACTGATTACAAAGCGTTTAATCCCAAATTGAATTGGATTGAATCAAACGGTTTTTAGTTATAAATCCCTAGGTTGTCCTTAGTTAAAGATTTTCGGACTTAATTTTTTATATGCTAAGTACAAAAAGAATATTATGTCATAAGTCTCCTTAAAAATATTTAAGCTGTCAAGCGCCTAAATCGTGTGAATGAAACCTGTTTTCGTTTCAGAAAACTATAATTTAATTTATTTTTAATTAATTGTTTTTTAACGGATTTTTACAGTAAAATACAAAGTGACTTAGACTAAGACTTTAATGGCATGTCATAAAAATATTTAAAATGAATCTCTCTTGAACGTATATAGGATACGAATCTTTCTCCTGTACAGCTATAAAATTTATTAAAAGTAGGTATTTGATATTTTTCTTTAAAATGTTAAATGCTTTAAAGTGCCAAGATTCGTGTGAATGAAACCTGTTTTAGTTACAGAGTACTAATTTGTTTTTATTTAATGGTTTTGTTTTTAATTCTCTTACGAATTATTTACGGTAAAAGCTAAGAATTTAACGGTGTGCCATATAAATACATATAAATATAAACCTACTTGGTACATTTACGAATGTCGGAGTGAGCTAACCCGTATATGAATCTTTTACTCATACAACTCTAAAGTTTATTTAGATATAAACAGGTATATAGAATAGTCTGTGGTAAAAGCATGTTTGTAGACTGTAATCGTTAGTCACTGACATCTAAACACATAGCTTAGTAAAACCCTACAGATGTGACACTTATTTAACTTAAACGTCATTTCGTCTGCGCAAGAGTCCCTTTTCTAGCCTAACCGTTTTAATATGCTTTTGGTTAATTCATTATTCTTTAGTTGCTATAGTTTTACAGAAAACTGATTAACAGTTATTAACATAAGTACTAATACATATTTTGTTTTATTTTATACTTACACCAATTAAGCTAAGTTTAATGATTTTAAATTTAAGGTACTTACTAAATGAAATAAAAAATGTAAATAATGAAATATTATATGTATTTTTTTTTATTGCGATGGAAGGAT